TCATTAGTGTGCATTTCCCTTCTGTATCGCCACGCTGAGGCGCTGGAAAAGGAAGCTGCCAGCTCTAGGGTCTCTTGTTGTTTCAATGAGCCTAGAACCCAGTTCCTTAAAAAAGCTGGTGGCACTCTTACTCCAGGCGCCGAGTGTCTCAGAAACAATGGGGGCAAAATTGTAGTGGTGATCCAGCTCTCTGTTCTTACGGGATTTGGCTGATTCCCTATGAGTAGCAGCGCCACCTGGTTGTGCAACACTGAAGTTAATGTAGGTGTTAGCCAGGGTTGATACGCAAGTGTAATCCCATACCAACTGCATCCATTCTTCCAGGGGTTCACTGTGATACCATCCGGGCGACCAACAAGAGCATCAGAGTTGCGGGCGTTAGGTAAAGGGGCTCTCTCTCAAGGCTGGGCATCCAGCTGTGGTGAGACTCCTCTTGATATCGTTAACTTCACTGTGCCTCGAGTGCCACCCCCCTGTGCTTTGTCAGAGTAGGCCATGTTGGCCGTACCTGTCAGCCACCACCTTGCCGCAAATAAACCTATATTTGGTATGGATTGGGGCAGCAAGGTGGAGGGCCACAGCAATTCGGAGGGGTGATCATGTCTCCCCGACCTCTTCTCTCTTCCAGCGACGTGAGGTGCAGTTCACACAGCCGTTCCTCATAACTCATGCCTCGTAGTTCTGGGACTAGCCTAGTGGCATTCCTCTGAACTTTTTCCAGGTTCGTCTTGTGCTTGTCAAGATACGGGCTCCATTCTGGGGCCGCATACTCCAGGATTGGCCTTACATATGTGGCATACAAGGTTCTGAAGGTTTCCTTACACGGGTTTCTGAAAGCAGTTCTGATGTTAACCAGCCTCGCATACGCTGCTGATGTTATTCTGTTGATGTGGGCTTCAGGAGACAGATTTGGCGTGATATCAACTCCTAGATCTTTCTCTCTCTCCGTTTCGTCTCCCATTCGGTATCCAGTGTCTGGCCTCCTATTTCCTCCTCCTAGTTTCATTACCTTACATATACTTGGGTTGAGCTTTAGTAGCCATTTGTTGGACCACTCCTTCAGTTTGTATAGGTCATGTTGTAGCCTCATACTATCTTCCTTTGTCTTGATCCTCCTCATAATTTTTGCATCCTCAGCAAACATCAAGAGGAACGAGCCTATTTCTTCTGCGAGATCATTTACGTATATCAGAAACAATATAGGTCCAAGGACTGATCCCTGTTGGATTTCACTGGTGACTCCTCGCTACTCTGAAACTTCACCCCTCACAGTGGCTCGCTGTGTCCTGATGCTACCCTTATCCAGTACAGTACCTTCCCTTTCACTCTTGCCTGCATCTCCAGTTTGTGCACTAGTCTCTAATGTGGTACTGTGTCAAAGGCTTTCTGGCATTCTAGAAATATTCAGTATGCCCAGCCCTCTTCTCTTTTGCCTAATTTTTGTTGCTTGGTCATAGAACTCAATTAAACCTGTCAGGCATGATTTGCCATCTCTGAGCCCATGCTGATGTTGTGTTACATAGTTCTTTCGCTCCAGATGTTCTACTAGCTTTTTACGCACATTCTTCTTCATCATCTTGCATGGAATGCAAGTTAGGGACACTAGCCTGTAGTTCAGTGCCTTCTGCCTATCACCCTTCTTGTATATTGCGACTACGTTGGCCGTCTTTTAAATTGTTGGCAGTTCGCCTGTTACCAGTGATTTGTTGTACACAATGGAGAGTGGCAGGCACAGAGCTTCTGCTCCTTCCTTTAGAATCCATGGTGAGATTCCAACCGGGCCTATAGCCTTTGTCACATCCAAATTTAGCAGATGCTTTCTCACCTCCCCACTGGTAATCACAAACTCCTTTAATGGTGTCAGGTTTGATATTCCGTCTCTTATCTCTGGGACTTCTCATTATTCTAAGGTGAAGACCTGGAATTTGTTATTGAGTTCCTCGCACACTTCCTTGTCGTTTGTAGTGAATCTTTCTCCCCCTATCCTCAGTTTCATTACCTATTCCTTCACTGTTGTTTTCCTCCTGATGTGGCTATGCAGCAGTTTGGGTTGAGACATTGCCTTGCTAGCTATGTCATTTTCATGTTACCTCTATACCTCTCTTTTCACCCCTGACGTATTCATTCCTGGCGCTCTGGTATCTTTCTCTGCTCTCTAGTGTTCTCTTGTTTCTATAGTTTCTCCACGCCCTTTTACTTAGTTGCTTTGCTAGCTTACATCTCCGATTAAACCATGGGTTTCTCATCTGCAGTTCATTTTTTTCCTTTTGGACTGGGACGAACTTGTCTGCTGCCTCCTTACACTTCTGTGTGATATAATCCATCATGTCTTGAACCGTCTTTCCTCTGAGCTCTGTTTCCCCAGCTATATCATTTTCTTTCTTATCTCTTATTCTTATCTAGGAATTTTCTTATCTCCTCACAGTTTCCCTTCCGAAATGCTGGCCTCTTGCTTTCTGGTCCCTTCCTTGAGTACAATAACCCCTTCGACCAGATACTCAAACAACACTGTGATCACTCATACCCACGGGGGATTCAAGACCGATTTCCCTTATGTCTTTATCGTTCAGAGTGAATACTAGGTCGAGTCTTGCTGGTTCATCATTGCCTGTCATTCTCGTAGGACCCTTGACATGCTGACTTAAAAAGTTTGTAGTCGCCACACACACACTAGGTGTGTGTGTCATATGGTGTGTGTGTCATATGGGGTATGAGTGTCATATTTGTATGTGTTGTCTAGTATGAATGTCACTCGCTGTATGTGGTGTGTGTGTGTGTGTGTGTGTGTGTGTGTACTCACCTAATTGTACTCACCTAGTTGTGCTTGCGGGGGATGAGATCTGGCTCTTTGGTCCCGCCTCTCACCTGTCAATCAACTGGTGTACAGATTCCTGAGCCTACTGGGCTCTATCATACCTACATTTGAAATTGTGTATGGAGTCTGCCTCCACCACATCACTTCCTAGTGCATTCCATTTACTAACTATTCTGACACTAAAAAAAAATCTTTCTAACGTCTCTGTGGCTCATCTGGGCATTAAGTTTCCACCTGTGTCCCCTTGTTCGTGTCCCACCCGTGCTGAAGAGTTTCTTTTGTCCACCCTGTCAATTCTCCTGAGAACTTTGTAGGTGGTTATCATGTCTCCCCTTACTCTGCTTTTCAGGGACGTGAGGTTCAGCTCCTTTAGCTTTTCCTTGTAGCTCCTTCCTCTCAGTTCCGGGACGAGCCTGGTGGCATACCGCTGAATCTTCTAATAAGAAGAATAAGAAGAAGTTCTTTCTAATATCTCTGTGGCTCATTTGGGCACTCAGTTTCCACCTGGGTCACCTAGTGTGTGTGCCCCTTGTGTTAAATAGCCTGTCTTTACCTACCCTATCAATTCCCTTGAGAATCTTGAATGTAGTGATCATGTCCCCCCTAACTCTTCTGTCTTCCAGCGAAGTGAGGTTCAATTCCTGTAGTCTCTCCTCGTAGCTCATACCTCTCAGCTCGGGTACTAGTCTGGTGGCAAATCTTTGAACCTTTTCCAGTTTAGTCTTTTCCTTGACTAGATATGTACTCCATGCTGGGGCTGCATACTCCAGAATTGGCCTGACATATGTGGTATACAAAGTTCTGAATGATTCTTTACACAAATTTCTGAATGCTGTTCGTATGTTGGCCACCTGGCATATGCCGCTGATGTTATCCTCTTGATATGTGCTGCAGGAGACAGGTCTGGCGTGATATCAACTCCCAAGTATTTCTCTTTCTCTGACTCCTGAAGGATTTCCTCTCCCAGATGATACCTTGTATTTGGCCTCCTGCTTCCTACACCTATCTTCATTACATTACATTTGTTTGGTTAAACTCTAACAACCACTTGTTCGACCATTCCTTCAGTTTGTCTAGGTCTTCTTGAAGCCTCAAACAGTCCTCTACTGTCTTAATCCTTCTCATAATTTTGGCATCGTCCGCAAACATTGAGAGAAATGAATCTATACCCTCTGGGAGATCATTTACATATATCAGAAACAAGATAGTGTGTGTGTGTGTGTGTGTGTGTGTGTGTGTGTGTGTGTGTGTGAGTGTGTGTATGTGTGTGTGTGTGTGAGTGTGTGTATGTGTGTGAAAGCCGAAGTCATCAACAGACACAAGCTGTAGCCTGAAGCCTCATTAAACCACTCGGCGTCAATGAATACTCTACATGTCGTACAGAAGAGCTATACATGTTCTTTAATACATATTACTCGTTGAACTATTCCAAGCGGAAAAGTTATTTGTTTTACTGTGATAAACAAATCAACGACAGCCATTCCTTGACTACGACGCTACAAGCGACCTGTCGTTGTCAAGCTCTGGGTACTAGGTCTCACGCTCAGCGCCAAACTCCAAAATCTTTATACAATTTCCAAAAACTATTTCGCTACGTAATGCAAGGGATTTTTTAATGCTAAAACCGAAATAGATATTTAGAAGAATAAAACTCATTTATCTCAAAATAATTGATGTACAAAATTTTGATTTCTAATGACCAATTCAAATTTTGGAATTTATTGCTTAAGGTTAAAGAACTGTATAGAACTTCTGTAAAATTGTTGGAATTCTTAGACAATATGAAATGCTAGTATTGACGGAGGCAGCGTTCACCACAGTGCTAGTATTGACGGAGGCAGCGTTCACCACAGTGCTAGTATTGACGGAGGCAGCGTTCACCACAGTGATGGTATTGACGGAGGCAGCGTTCACCACAGTGCTGGTATTGACGGAGGCAGCGTTTACTACACTGCTGGTATTGACGGAGGCAGCGTTTACTACAGTGCTGGTATTGACAGAGGCAGCGTTCACCACAGTGCTAGTATTGACGGAGGCAGCGTTCACCACAGTGCTAGTATTGACGGAGGCAGCGTTCACCACAGTGATGGTATTGACAGAGGCAGCGTTCACCACAGTGCTGGTATTGACGGAGGCAGCGTTCACCACAGTGATGGTATTGACGGAGGCAGCGTTCATCACAGTGATGGTATTGACGGAGGCAGCGTTCACCACAGTGATGGTATTGACGGAGGCAGCGTTCACCAGTGCTGGTATTGACGGAGGCAGCGTTTACCACAGTGCTGGTATTGACGGAGGCAGCGTTTACCACAGTGCTGGTATTGACGGAGGCAGCGTTTACTACACTGCTGGTATTGACGGAGGCAGCGTTTACCACACTGCTGGTATTGACGGAGGCAACGTTCACCACAGTGCTGGTATTGACGGAGGCAGCGTTTACTACACTGCTGGTATTGACGGAGGCAGCGTTTACCACAGTGCTGGTATTGACGGAGGCAGCGTTCACCACAGTGCTGGTATTGACGGAGGCAGCGTTTACTACACTGCTGGTATTGACGGAGGCAGCGTTTACCACACTGCTGGTATTGACGGAGGCAGCGTTTACCACAGTGCTGGTATTGACGGAGGCAGCGTTCACCACAGTGCTGGTATTGACGGAGGCAGCGTTTACTACACTGCTGGTATTGACGGCGGTAGCAGCGTTCACCACAGTGCTGGTATTGACGGCGGTAGCAGCGTTTACCACAGTGACCCTCACCCACCAGAGTTGATCATTTAACTCCTCAGGTCACATTAATTTACTTTTGGTAAAGAAGCAATTTAAAGTCAGGAAAATTTCCATCTCACACATCTTGGAGAGGTCGGTTACCACAGACCACCAACCCTCACATCTGACAACTTCCTCGAGAAAATTGTAAAGTTTTTATAGGCTCTTCAACACGATTTTGCATTAAAACATAATATATTCTTGTTATTAAATAATTTAATGATTCACTGTGTCTCAGAACCATAAAGTGTATTCATACACGTTAGGCTTCTTTCGTGGTTCACACAATACCTTTATACAATTATGTTCATCCCTGCATTGTAACTATTTTGTTTGTCACAAGAAAAAAAATGGCTCTCGTAATCAACATAAACTGTAAAAGAAACTATATTAACAATAACAACAGTAAAACCAAAAAATTATTATAATCTCGACAAATATGACAACAAGGAGAAGGTCAACAACTGTGCTTGTCACCGACAGCCTCGTCTTCAGTACCAACACTGTCAACGACAGCCCCGTCTTCAGTACCAACACTGTCAACGACAGCCCCGTCTTCAGTACCAACACTGTCAACGACAGCCCCGTCTTCAGTACCAACACTGTCAACGACAGCCCCGTCTTCAGTACCAACACTGTCAACGACAGCCCCGTCTTCAGTACCAACACTGTCAACGACAGCCACTTCAACACAATTATCGTTAAGAACCACAAGAATAACGTCAATATCATCAGTGACAACATCACTACCTCCGCCACCAATAACGGAGACCTCACTATATACTACATCAGCACTACCACAACCATCAACAGATATACCGTTATCTGCAACGTTAACAACACCGTCTAAAACATCGTCAATAACATCAGCATCATGTACAACATCCACAACAACATCAATATATTTCATAACATCTATACTCAAAGAAATCACACAAACGTGATGAATATTAGTGAGGAAATCATTTAGAACAATGAGGTGACTCGAACCTGCAATCAAGGTATTCACAGCCGCGGACCTTGCCCCTGCACCACGACATGGGGTAAGTTATACATCATGGGATTCCACTGAATTCACAGGAAGTCTGGAAGCTTCCTCGAGTGGCTCCACGACTTCCGTCCAGGAATCAGTGAAAAATGTGTAACTTATACATTATTGTGGTACAGGGGTAAGGTGCGCGTCTGTACCGTGATCGATGGATCGAGTCGCCTCATTGCTCTAAATGATTTTCTTACTGATACATATAACATCAACATCAACGATATCATCTATACTGACATCAACACCAACAATGCCATTCACATCATCATCAACAATAACAATACCATCTACAGCATCAACAACAACAACAATACAATGTATAACATCAACAACTACATTACCTTTTATAACCACAACAACTAATCAATAACATAACGGCACCATCTATTACACAGAGACATCCCACTAACATGTTGTATATCAATGAGATAATCAACTGAAGCTCTGAGATGATTTGAACCCATGACCAAAGAACTCCCCGCCGCTCAGCTTACCACTGTACCACCCCAACTTATTACAAGCTATACAACCAGTATTGTACTAGAACCTCAGGGAGTCTGGAGGCCTCTACTGAAGCCAGTCCAACTTCACCGCACTACACCCAAGTTAGTGGGATTTCTCTGTGTATCTGCAGTTGGAGCGACCGGTGGACGGACCACTTTGCCTGCACCCGAGTGTTTGGGAGTTATACAATAGGGAAAGGGACAAAGGAGCCCAGGAGTTATGTAAACTATAATGGGAGGTCAACTACAGGAGTCAAAGAGAAAGAAGGTTTCGGAATGGATATAATTCCAGTACTCTCTCCAGAGGCTCACATAGACAAGGGAAACATCGTCAGCTTATAAGACACTGAGAAGCATTAGAACGTCGTTTAGAAGCCTAGACGACAGTACCGTTTTACGACTCTTTCGAGGCCCTCTACTTTCAAGGTCACCCTTTGTTAGACCAGCAGTGGAACATGGGGCACCGGCCAGGAATCCCCACCTTGGGAAAAATAAAATTTAAAGTTAAAACCTACAACAAGATTATAACTAGAACAATAAGGGCTGAGTTATGAGGACAGGTTAAGGGAAGTAAACCTCACGACTCTGGAGGAGACAAGAAACAAAGGGAACAATAGATGAAATAAGAGTATAGATGCAATACAATAGATGAAATAAGAGTATAGGGCTGGTCTGGGGCCAGATTCACGAAGCGGTTACGCATGCACTTACTAACCAGGACATCTTTTCTCAATCTTTGGCGGCTTTGTTTACAATTATTAAACAGTTAATTAGCTCCGAAGTACCAGGAGGGTGTTCATAGCAATAATCAATATTATTTCCCCACTACTCTCATGCTAAAAGAAAACTTTCTAACATCTCTATAACTCATCTGCGTTTCCAGGTTCAACCTAAGTCATGGTCTGTTGGTATTCCGTGGGAAAATTTCGTCTTTTTATACTCCGTTAATCCCCCTAAGTATTTTGTATGCTGCTATCATATCTCTCCGCTCCGTCCTTTTGTTCTAACGTTGTCAGGTTCAGTTTCTTCAGTCGTTCTTTTTATCCCATCCAGCAGCTCTGGGACTAACCTCGTCGCAAATACTTATTCCTTTTCTAGTTTCCTAATGTGATTCTTTAGGTGGGGGCTTCATGATGGGCTGCATACTCTATGACTAGTCCCTCGTAGGCAATGAGACCATTTCTCCGTCGGCCGGATTACCCATCGCCATTTTATAAACAAACATTTAGCATGGCGATGGGTAATCCACTCTCCCCGGTTTTGAACAATTTGTACATTTGAGTGTTTGGAACGAATATCTTACCCAGGATTTTGCCATCAAATTTGGAGTGGAATAGAAACGTTGAAGATATTTTGTGCCTGTGGCCGGTTAACCATGACCAAACTGATCTCTTCATTCAGCTTAATTCATTGGTTCCGTCAATTAAATTCATAATTGAGAATGAAGAGAATGGTGTTCGACCTTTTTTAGACATCATGATTCATAGGATCGGTAAGAATTTCAAATTCAATGTGTATAGGAAACCTACCAATGTGTGCTCGTATGTTCATTTTTACTCAAATCATCCTATTCTGGTTAAGCGGGCAGTATTTTCTGGTATGTTTCTCAGAGTCCTGAGAGTTTGATGCCCGGATTTTTTTGATGAAGAATAATGAAAATATTTGAAACTGAGTAGAAGTTAAAATACCCAAAATCGATCTTGGATTTCGCGTTTGGTCAAGCAAAAGGAATGTTCTACAAACAAGCTCCCAAGTTTAAACCAGAAATAAAACGCTCGTTGGTATTATTAACCAATTTTAATGAACTAGTGAATCTTGCTCGGTGTCTTAGTTGACATGGGCTTGAAACCCGCCATATACTGTAGGTATGTTGACGACATTTTTACACAGGTACCTGATGCCAGATGTCTGCAGCAGCTGAAGGAGGCATTTGAGCAGAATTCTGTGCAGAGTTTCACGTACGAGATGGAGAACAATGGGAAGCTGCCCTCTCTGGATGTAACAGTCACGGAAAGGAGCGGAGGTTTCCATACTGCAGTCTACACAAAAGAAACAAACATAGGAATGTGCCTCAAAGCCAATAGTGAATGCACAGACAGGTACAAGAGGAGTGTTGTCGATGCTTACGTCGACCGTGCTCTAAGTCACCGCTCAGGATGGAAAGAAGCCGACGAAGAACTCTGTAGGGTAAGGCAAGTTCTAGTCAACAACGGCTTCTCTAACGGTTTTGTTGAAGACATCATAAAAAGAAAGGTAAAACGCCATGCAGCTTCTGAAGAGTAAACCGACACAACACTTGTACCCCCAATTAAACTATTTTACAGGAACTTCTTTTCGACGGCTCATAAAACGGAGGAAAGGGTCCTTAAGGATATTGTTGATAGGAACGTCATCCCTACAGACAAAAATCAGAAAATACAATTGATAATTTTTTATAAAACCCAAAAAACGGCCAATCTACTCATGAAAAACTCGCCAGACACCAAGCAGAACGCTTTGAAGGAGACCTACGTCGTCTATGCCCTTAAATGCCCACTTGGAGACTGTAAGTCAGAAAGAACTCGGTATATAGGCAAGACAACAACGTCTCTTTCTAGGTGACTAACAATGCATAAGCAACAGGGAGCCATCAAGGAACACATAATCTCTTCTCACAACTAGACCATCACCAGAGAAATCTTAACAAACAACACAGAAATCATCGATAGGTTCGGCGATAGCAGGCGCCTAGACATCAGCGAGGCACTACACATTAAAACGTCAACACCAGCAATCAACAGTCAATTAATGCACAACTATATTCTACCTACTTCAGGACCCCCCGAACCAATATGGAAGCAGCAAGAGGAAGTATGGGCCAATAGACCTTCTGCATTTACTTCCCATTGTTTCGTGTTCTGTCTTGTGTTTGTCGCCTCACCCAAAACTTTTGTACAATATCACCTCATCCAATAGAGTACAAGTACGAAGAATTTGTGTGTAAATTAAGACTTTGATAATGGAATACGAATTACGAAACGCGTTCAGGCGTCAGACAATTAAAAAAATTAATTTCGGAGAATTGATATTTTTATTACCACCGACAGTGAAGAAAAACATAAGAAATATTGAGAAGATTCGTGTTAGAATTATTAATCTTACCTTTTCGGTCATATTCAACAACATATGTTTACAAGAAAGACTGATACCAAAATATACTAATATATATATATATATATATATATATATATATATATATATATATATAATATATATATATATATATATATATATATATATATATATGTCGTACCTAGTAGCCAGAACGCACTTCTCAGACTACTATGCAAGGCCCGATTTGCCGAATAAGCCAAGTTTTCCTGAATTAATATATTTTCTCTAATTTTTTTCTTATGAAATGATAAAGCTATCAATTTCATAATGTTTGAGGTCAATTTTTTTTTATTGGAGTTAAAATTAACGTAGAT